AATGAAATTCCTTTTAAATGCAAATATAATGGTACCAAAAATATTCAAAAAGCCATACAAGAACATTGGCACATCCTAAGAGATGACCCTATCTTGAAGGATATTTTACCTTTAAAACCAAAAATTATATATAGAGGAACTAAAAATCTAAAAAATATTTTAGTTAAAAGTAATTTAGAAACTGCCAAACTGGATCATTTTATTAGCAATCTTACAGGTTTCTACGGCTGTGGAGACTGTCTACCATGTAGAGCAACCAAAAGTAAAAAAAGACATCTTTTAGACATAAGCAAAGTGATAGGACAACCATATAAAATAAGAGACCATCTCACGTGTCACTCTAAAGGGGTTATCTACGCCCTAAAATGCCACTGCAATCTCCTTTATATAGGGAGAACAATATAAGGATTGCAGAACATGTGGGCAATATCAAAAAAGGCCTAGAGACACACTCCGTCTCCCAACATTTTAAAATTACTCATCAAGATACCTTTTTTTTTCTGTACGATAAAACTGGTCACAAAAGACTGGAGAGGAGGAAACTATATAACCAAGTTAGGAAAAGAAGAAATTAAGTTTATCTTCAATTTTAATACCTTAATACCCAATGGTCTCAATTCTGATTTTGAGATTTGCCATTTCCTTAAAACATAACCTTTTTCTATATTGAAGAGTGGGTTAACACTATCAATAAGTACTATTAGGTTTATGCACTGATAAGATTATGTTATTCTATCTTTTAAAATATTTTTATTTATACACACATTTTCTCCTCCCCTATCAAATGTTTTTATTTTTAACATCATTGTTAACATCCTTTTTATATTCATTTTATCTCATTTTATCTTATTATGTATATGTCATTGTCTACACATTTTTTATGTCTCCACCATTATATACATATGATCCCCCTCTCTTTTTTACTTGCTCTTTTTATCCTCTTATATACAAATGAGGACTGTCATACAATGCATATATATTGTATGGACAATGAAACAAATATGGACAATAAAGTACATATGAGCAATAAAGTTTCTTCTAGAAGTGGAACGCATATGCGTTCCAACAATGAGTGAAGCCACGAACCGGAATCACGCCATCAATATGAAGCCGCAAAGTGGACATGTACAATAAAGTTTTTTCTACAAGTGGAACGCATATGCGTTCCACAATGGGTGAATCCGCGAATCGGAAGTGCATCATCAATGTGAAGCCTGAAAGGAGGACGGAACACAGAAGAGACCAATCCAGCACAGGTGACTGCAATCAAACAATCACAGGAGAATATAAAAGACTGCTAATGGACAGGTAACATCATCAGCAACTGAGGAAGCCTAAAAGATAGGCCAAACGTGTCTTGCTACCCCTAAGTGGACTTTTTTTACTTTACCACCTAGAGTGGCTATATATAAGAAGCATTTTGCTTTCTGTTTTAAAGTTTTACTTGTATTTTATATGTTACATTTTTTTCTATTAAAAGAAGTATTGTCTTCCCATACATTTTGATGTGGGCACTCTTCCTTTGTAAGACTACCAAGGAACGCAGATACAGCTGTTACATCTAAAGGGAGTGGGATCCCTTCAAACTATCCCACAGGCGTCCAGACTGAACCATTATTCTTTGGGTCTCCACTTGTGAGTACTGAATCATACAACTTGCATTGAGCCATTTATGTACCGTATGATACTGCACTAGATGCTTGTCAATATCTTTGTCTTTTTAGCTATACCATTGTACTCCTTTGTACCCACGAACCAAGATACTCCAACTATTCTGTATGTATGCATTTATTGTAGATTTATGTGGATAGAGAGGTTACCACATAGGTGTTTTGAGCCACTTGGTCAGTGTTGGGGTCACTCACTCAGACTCTGTATTTGCATTTCATTTTGACTTTGATTATATTCTCTCACTGAGTCGAGCGTGGTGATATTTAAAATGGCATTTCTCGATAACAGAAACTATCGTATTAATAATATAGATATGTGCTTTAAAGGAGGGAAAGACAGTACCCAGACACAAAACTACAGTAATGTAGATAAAAGCAAATATAATTTAGAAAAAGCACTAATCAAAGAAATGGAAAAAAAGTGGGAAAAAGCAACTTTAAGTAAGTATGTGAATGAGTGAATTACCCCTAGAGGCCTTAGATTCACAAAAGATCCAACCTCTGATAGAGATAATCCACACTTTATGACAGGTTGGAATCAAATGTTAGACGGCTTCTCCTTCAGCCTTATGGGCTATATAGTAACCAGGAGGGAAAAAAGCCTGCCCAAACTAGATGAAGATATCATCAAATGGAAAGAAAACCTGATTGAGAATACTAGCCCGGAAATTTACAACAATGTAGTTAAAGAGATCAAAATAAAAGTAGACAAAATAGAAGATACTGTAACGGATCGCCTGGCACCTCGACTGGGTACCTCCGTTGAAAGATGCTCCTAGCGCTTCCTGAGGACTCCAAGCACTGCAGCAGACACCACAATCACCGAACCAGAGAAGCGTATACCTTCTCTCAAGCATATGAATGCTGCAGACAGTTGAATAGGAACCATACGAATAGGTTTACTCTCCTAGCAGTCAAACTGGAACAGCATACAATAAATCCTTCCCCCAATAATGAGACGACACTTCACTTTGAGGGTTAAGCAGGAACTCCCTGTACTGTCACATACAGTCTCTTTTATTCCCAATCCACAAACATAGTACAGCCTACAGGGCGTTACAAAACAGCCAATCAATCCATACACTACACCCAGATACTCCCACACAAAATCCTCCCCTCTGGCTGTGATATGATTACTGAACACAATGGGTAATCTAATTATCACAGCCAGAGAAATACAGTTTCATAAAACACATCACAGGGACCCCAAAACATGCAATAACCCCATAAAAAAGTATATCATTGGAACTGGTGGATCTGGGTGAACCACATATCCAAAATTTACCCAGATCTGTTCAGTACTTTGGAAAATACAGTTTAATGCAGATTCTGCAGATAGTGATGTCGCGAACACGAAATTTTCGGTTCGCGAACGCGAACTTCCACAAATGTTCGCGAACCGGCGAACCGGGCGAACCGCCATTGACTTCAATGGGCAGGCAAATTTTAAAACACACAGGGACTCTTTCTGGCCACAATAGTGATGGAAAAGTTGTTTCAAGGGGACTAACACCTGGACTGTGGCATGCGAGGGGGATCCATGGCAAAACTCCCATGGAAAATTACACAGTTGATGCAGAGTCTGGTTTTAATCCATAAAGGGCAGAAATCACCTAACATTCCTAAATCACAATGAATATGGATTGACACCTGACATATGACATATTGACACCTTGACATGGATTGACACCTGTCCTCAGAGCCCGTGATGCACACGGACACAGAGCAGAATAGAGACTTGTCCCCTACATAGGGTCACTTGGCAGATATGGATTGACACCTGTCCTAGGATCCCTGATACACACTGACACAGAGCAGAATAGGGACTGTTCTACATGGTACTTAGCAGATATGGATTGACACCTGTCCTAAGGTTCCCATGATACACACTGACACAGAGCAGAATAGGGACTGTTCCCCCTACATCGGGTCACTTGGCAGATATGGATTGACACCTTGTTACAAACTGCTATTTGTAACGGGCCCTTTAAATGGCAAATTGCCCTGCTTCCCTGGGTTGTGGAGAAGCCTATTTGCCAGCCTCCTCCCGCATGACTATGGCCCCTGGGAGATTGTGAAAATGTATGCACTTTTATTTGGTGTGTATGGCCCTTTAAGACTGTCGGTGGGCATATTGGGGCTTATGGACTCTTTATGTGACTGGTGCTGGCCCTTTAAACACCTTTTTTGGGACATCAGGAAGATTGGGACACTGCCCCTTTAAGGCCGTGTCCCCAGACTTGTTGGGGACACTGCCCCTTTAAGACGGTGTCCCCTGTATTACTAGACCTGGTGCAAACCAACACATTGCCTGCCTGGCTATTTCCCACTTGGTTCAGTAAATGGGGCTTACTGAACCAAGTACCACACAGGCAGACCACCCAGGAGTGGAAGTGTGCAGGCAATTTACCTCCCAGAAGCTGCGGTTAACCGCAGCTTAATTGACAATGCTGGGAGGTCTTTGTTCGTTTGCCGAACACGTGGCGGCGGCCATCTTTGATCATTCGGCGAGGTCAGCGGTATGTGTAGCCAAATTCATGGAACT